GCTGGTGCCCCATGGCTCCAGAGTAGGGGGGGTGGCGCCCAGAGGTGCCTCTCTGGAGACTGGGCAGCTGACACCTGGGAACTACAGAGACATTTACATGTGAGCAGCCACGGTTCATCAGGAATGGGGGAATCACGTGGGGACAGGCGGCTGGTGAGGCTTTGAGGGACGGGGGACTGGGAGGAGACTGAAATCATTAGCATGGTTCCTTCCTTTTTCTTTTTCTTTTTGGGCCATACCCAGCAATGCTCAGGGGATACTCCTGGCTCTGCCTTGGGTGGGATTTCTCCTGGCAATGCTCGGGGGACCATTTAAGATGCCAGGGATCGCACCTGGGTTAGCTGCGTGCAAGGCAAATGCCCTCCCCACTGTACCTTGGCTCCAGGCCCAGCATGCTTCCTTCTTGGGGTTCCAGTGGTCCTGGGGAACCCCACTGGAGGAAGTCTGTCCCGCAGATTTGGCCGCGTCCTCACCTGCAGCCAGTTGGTCAGAGACTGATGTCATCTCCCCACCCCCTCCTGATGTCCTAACTCTGGGGACCCCGGGACTCAGGCATGCACTCACAGCAGGATGCAGAACAGGGTGGCCAAGAGCAGAGCTTCAGAGCCAGTGCCAGTTAGCTGTGGTGAGCGTCACAGGTGCCCCGTGCCCGCCCGCAGCGGTGCTCAGAGCAGCAGCTGTGCCCTGCGAAGCGGCGGGCAGGGAAGAAGAGATCCGAAGTCTGAGGGCACAAGATTCACTCAGTGGGATTGTCACTGATCCCAGCTTGAAAAGGAGGACGCTGTGGCATGGGTCTGAGAAGACATTCATCTTAGGTTGCATAACTAGGGAGAGAGAGAGAGAGAGAGAGAGAGAGAGAGAGAGAGAGAGAGAGAGAGAGAGAGAAAGAAAGAAAGAAGAAAGAGAAGGAAAGAAAGAAAGAAAGAAAGAAAGAAAGAAAGAAAGAAAGAAAGAAAGAAAGAAAAAGAGAGAGGGGAAGGAAGAAAGGAAAGTAGGAAGGAAGAGAGAAAGAGAGGAGAAGGAAGGAAGGAGGAAAGAAGGAAGCAAGAAAGGAAGGAAAGAGGAAGGAAGGAGGAAAGAAGGAAGGAAGAGGAAGAAAGGAAGAAAGGCGGAAGGAGGAAGAAAGAAAGAAAGAAAGAAAGAAAGAAAGAAAAGGGAAGGAAGGAAGGAGGAAGAAGGAAGGAGAAATAAAGGAAGAAAGGAAGAGAGAGAAAGAAAGAAAGAAAGAGAGAGAGAGGAGAAGGAAGGAAGGAAAGTAAGAAGGAAGAGAGAGGGGAAGGAAGGAAGGAAGGAAGGAAGGAAGGAAGGAAGGAAAAAAGAAGGAAGGAAGAAAGAAAAGAAAGAGAGAGGGGAAGGAAGGATGGAAGGATGGAAGGAAGGAGGAAGGAAGGAATAGAGGAGAAAGAAAGAAAGAACGAAAGAAAGAACAAAAGAAAGAAAGAAAGAACGAAAGAAAGAAAGAGGGGAAGGAAGGAAGGAAGGAAGGAAGGAAGGAAGGAAGGAAGGAAGGAGGGAAGCTGGGGTGGAGAGGGCTGGCATCCTGCCGGAAGTCGTGGGACTGAACCCAGAGGCGAGCCCCCGAGTTCGCCGCCAGGCTGCCTGGGCTGACCCCCATGTCACTGACATCTCTGAACTGGGCTGTGAGCACTTCCCGGGCAACCCTGCGGGTGTGGGGGTGTAGGTGCTGGGCCCCACCCCCAGTGTGAGCCCACTTCAAGGCCAAGGTGTCGGAGAGGGAGGGGTAGGTTCTGGGGCACAGTGTCTGTCCTGTGTGGGGGGCTCAGAGGCCCCGGGTGCTCTGGGGACTCCCAGCAGTCAGGCTACTCAGCAACGCTGAGGGGTCATGGGAGGGGAGAGGACGGGGAGGAAGAGGGTGCCTCAGTGAGCTGGGCCCTGCGGGTACGGCCCAACCCTGGGGCAAGGGCCGGCTTGGCCCCCTGCAAGGACAGGCTGGGTGCAGGGGCTCAGCCAGGGGCAGCTACCCCAGGAGGAAGCAGAGCACTGGGCCCTCCAGGGTGCGGCCAAATGTGCCAGAGCTGACCCACACACTGATCCTCCACACGCTGGGGAAACTGAGGCCTCGGAGAGTCAGAAAAGCAGGCTGCTTCCCCTCAGTCCCAACCAGGCCTCGGGTCAGAACGCCCCCGTGATGCCCCTGGCCGCGCTGGACCCTGAGGGCTGAGGAGGGCGCAGGGCAGTGCCCACCAGAGGGTTGTGGCCCATGTGTGTGGTGTGGCCGGCTGCGTCGGGACAGCGGTGAGCAGGGGGGCCATGAGTGAGAATGAAGTGCCGCCTCCTGCCGCCTCATCCGGCCCAGGAGCGGGCCAGCTTGGGACCGCAGCGGGGCACAGCTGCCCTCATTTCCCTAAGTGCATGCCCGACTGGCGATGCCAGGGTGGCAGCCACCTCCGGCCTCAGTCAAATGCTCTGGCTTGAGCCAGACCTGCGGTCAGTGCCCCCTGCCTCCCCACGCCACCAAGCCCCAAGGTCCTGCCACCGCAGGGAAATGAAGCCGCTCCCAGTCGCTGTGGACACGGGACAAACCATGGCAACCAGGCAGAGGCCCTGAGCCTCAGGGGGCACTCAAGTGCCGCCAGCCTGACATCTGGGGACATGGTAGACAGGGGACAGTGAGTTGTGCCTGCAGTCTGCCACCCACACACACTTCCCTGGGTTGAGGAGGCAAAGGCGCCCAGTGGGGAAGGCAGGGGGAGATCCTGAAAGGGGGTGCCGGGAGCAGGGGCTTCCTGGGGGTTCGAATCCCAGCCCGAATGACCTTGGGTCAGTCACTGCCCCTCTGGCCGCTGTCGTGCTCCCCATAAGGCCTGGGATGAAGGGCAAGCAGCACTAACCCCCCAAGTAAGTCACAGCCTCCTCTCCAGGACTGTGCCCTACCCGGCATCCTGAGGCTCAGGGCAGCCCCACCACCCTCCTCTGGGATCCTTGCCCAACCTCTCAAGTCAGGGGCAGCCTGGTGCCGGGTGAAGGCCCTGCTGGGGTCTGACATCTGCTTGCCCCAGAAGGACACTGGGTGGGGGTGGGTGGTGGGTGGTGAGGGGTGATCCCTGATCTTGGGAGCAGAGGCAGTGGGCCCATGTGGGCTTGACTATGCAGTTATGGGGGGCTCCAGCTTTCAGGCGTGGCTGGCCCCTGCTGCTCCATCATCACCTGGCCAGCACAGTGGGTCCTGCTCAGGTGAACATCACATGTCCAGCTACCTGGGGACTCAGGCAGCCTGAGTGTTCAGTCCCTCTTGACCTCTGCTGCCCATCACGGGTTGAGGGGAGCAGGGAGGCTCAGGGGGTCCTGGGAGGGTTCACACGGGGCACTCCAGAGCCTGGAGTCCAGCAGCGTGGCGGGAGACTGGCCAGTCCAAGGCCCCGACAGCTGCACACCGTCCTTCACTCACTGCAAGGAGACGCCTCAGTGGCCCGGGGTCTCGGCTTCGAGTACAAGGCTCATCCCCCGAATCCTTCCCAGAAACAGCAAGAATAATGTCACAATCTCCAGGCATTAGAGGAGCTAGTGGACCCGGATGAGGCTCCATGCCCACATGGTCCCCCCAAGCACTACGGGGTGTGGCTCGCGAGCCCCCGGCACCATGGGCGGCTGCGGAAAACTGGACAGCACAGGGCTGGAGCAGCACTGACCCTCAGCTGGCCACAACTTACTAGCAAGGCTTTCGGGTCTCCTGAGCACGAGAGCACTCCTGTTTCCCTCCCCCGCCCCACTGTCCAAACTAAATTATCCAGGCACCAAGGTCCGGCCAATAGGACACATCAGCCAGTCAGCACATGAGAGCTTGCTGCAGTCTTGGGCAAGTGACCTTTGACTCATTAATGACACCTGGCACTGATCAAAGCATTTATTATATACGAACTCATTTCATTCTCATCTGTGTGTGTGATCATCCCCTAAGAACTATAGAATGATGCACTAACTAGTATCATAAGTATTAGCGTTGTACAACAATAAGCCTTGGAATACTTCATAATTACTGCCGTCCTTTGATGAAGAGGACAAAGAGGCTATGACTTTGGGGGGCTCCCCTGCAGGGAGGCTGAGGGGCAGGATCTGAAGGCAGCCTGTGGGATTCGGGACCCTGACGCCTGCAGCCCTGCTCCCCCACCCGCAGCCCTTCCTGCCTGGTTCCCCCACCCAGAGGCACCGTGTGACAGCCCCCAACCACATGCAGCAGCACCACCAGACCAGCGTTTGTTTAAGTCACGGTGTTTTATTAGAAGGCGCTGGGATCCGCTCCAGCCCAGCCACTGCAAAGGCCCAGAGGGAACCAGCACAGAACCTGGGTGCAGACAGGAATGACACTCACATGACCTCTGACCTGGTGGCACGTGGGAAACCGTCACCCTGGCCCCAGACAAGGCTGTCCTTGAGAAGGGCCCAGCACTTCCAGGGCACCCTCAGGTAGGGGACGGGTCCCCTGAGCGCAGACAGGAGGCTCAGAGGGAAGATGGTACAGGCCAACCCAAGGCCCAGGCCAGCCAGGGACCCCAAGCTTGGTTTCTGGGCCGGGGGGACGAGAGACAATGCTTTGGCTCCCACAGCCTATGGGAACTGCCACAGGAAACCCCAGGCCCCTTTCCTCGGCAGGGATGGAGGAGCTCAGGAAAAACGGAGGCAGCTGGAAGCTCCGAGACTCTCCAAACCCTGCCCGAGTGGAAGGAGCCCACATAAGTGGGTCACGTGGAGCCCCACCCCACCGCAGGCAAATGGCCAGGGGTCACGCGGTCTCCCGTGGACACAGGTCCCTGGAGAAAGGCACGAGGGTGTTGAAGGCGCAGGCTCCAACCCTGGTGTGTGCAGGCCACAGTGAGTGAGGAGGGTGGGCAGACCACGGAGGTCTCGGTGTGGGCTGAGGTAGCCCAGAGCTGCCGCGGGGGCAGGAGAGAAGGGGCGCCACCTCCTGGATGGAATTTCTAAGACAGCAGGTGGGCGTGGAGGAGCACCTGGACTCAGAGGCTGGGTACCCGACCCCCAGAGGGCTGGGACGGGGCAGGAGAGGGTGGACAGGGCCAGGCTGTCCCAGGGGGCAGGTGGCTGGGCGCCCCGTGGGCTTGTCTGGAGGGAGCAAGGCGGAGAGTTGGCCACGGCGTCCCCGCGGGTCACTGCATGTAGGAGTAGCGCCAGTCCCCCAGAGGCTGGTGGGTCTCCTTGATGACCTGGGGTGACGTCCACCGCAGGATATAATGGGGGGCCCCCCGGCTTGTCGTTGGTTCCTGCGGGAAAGATGTCTCTGGTTTGTGGCCAAGACACCATGCTACGGGGGTGGTATCAGAGGGGGCAGGCAGAGAGCGAGGAGAAAAGCACGTGCATCGGATTGGGGGCCACTGGCTGGGTGAGGCAGGGGGTGGGTCCGCGACCCCTACCGAGGGGGGGGGGGGGTCTAGGGACAGTGTGGGACCTGGATCTGGCCACTAGGCAGCTGGGCCCTCTGGCAAACTTTGTCCCTCTCTGAGCCCATTTCCCCACTTGTACAAAGGGGCGGGTGGAGGGCCACAGATGTAGCCCAGTGGTCAGAGCATGCGCTGTCCCTGCACACAGGACTCCCAGGCTCTAGCCAATGCCACTGGTGCAGCCCTGGCACCGCTGAGGGTGGCCCATACATAAGCTGTGGGTGCTGGGCCCCACGCCTCAGCTATGCCTCTGCTCGGCCAGGCGGCCTGAGCCGGACTCCTGACTCCTACTCCGGAAGATGGGGAGAGCCCACCCCGAGACCGGGGAGACCCTGACCCAGCATGTCTGATAGGGCTCAGCATAGCACCCCACCCGCTGTGCCCAACCAATGATGCCAATCCTGGTGCCCCCTCCCCCCGCCATGCAGGCACTGGGCTCTCCCCTCACCAGAGGCTCGGGCGCCCCCAAAGGGCTGCTGGCCCACCACCGAGCCAGTGGACTTGTCATTGATGTAGAAGTTACCGGCGGCGTGCCGCAGCATCTTCGTGGCCTCCTGGATGACAGCCCTGCAGGGACAGTGCGCAGGAGTTGGCCGCCAGCCCCCCTCCATCCCCACAGGCACAGAGGGTGAGCCAGGCAGTGGAGGTGGGCACTGTCTGAGTCGCACTGCCCTGCTCTGCAGAGCAGGTCAACACAGCTGCCAGGGCTGGGGGAGGACCCGGCCGGACAGCCTGCACCTGAGGGTTCCATGCCAACTTCCACCCTCTCAGAGCTAGGGAGGCAGGGCAGGGGCAGAACCTCCAGCTGTCCATGGCAGGAGGCCACAGCCTCACCCCGCAGGGACCCAACAGCCCTGGGAACACTCAGAGGCTCCCACTTCCCAGTCTGCCTGGGGACCATGGGGCCCAGGTTCTGCACCATCCAGGGCAGAGCCACAGCCTCGGTGCCTCTGTGCCTGAGGAGAGCCTGCCTGAGACCACCACGAGGAAAGTGGAGACAGCACGGGCGCAGCGTTACTAAGGGGCCATGTCCACCAGAGGCAGTGCAGCCCTAAAAACAGAGCATGGCAGAGCAGGGGCGGCTGCCAGCACTCACTTATCCTGGGCGAACACTGCCCCTGTGAGGCCGTAGCTGGTGGTGCTGTCAACTAGTTGCAGGGTCTCCTTGTACTTGTCATCTGGGTAGACGTACACGGTCAGCACCGGCCCAAAGATCTCCTGCGAGAGAAGAGGCCGACATGAGCCCAGCCAGGACGGGGAACCCGAGCATCCTGGTCCCTGCTGGGCCTCACACCCACCCACCCCAGCCCCAGGGAGAGGGCCCGGCGCCGTGCCTGCTGGCATTGAACTCAAGGGCCTCTGGCGGTTGCCCACCCGGGGAGCCGGAGACTCGAGTGAGACCTCAGAACAGGAGGCTCCGGCAGCAACTGTGCCAGGACTGGCCTGCAGCATCACCGACCTTGGCCACCACGGTTGGGGGTGGCCCCCTGGGAAAAGGCCTTGGAGCCTCCGTTTCTTGTCCATGTAATAGGATTGATGACTGCACCCTCCCTCCCTGCACCCCAATCACACACCAGCTGCAGGTGGCCCCTGTAGACGGAGGCAGGGAGGGGCCCCAAGGCTGCAGTACCCGCTGTGCATGTGGAACCTGGGTTCCAACCCGGGACCACCGGAACTCGGGCTAGGAGTAACCCCCTGGGCACTGCCAGGTGTGGCCCCAACTCAAAAGAAAAATAAGGGCAGGGGGTGTTGTGGGCTGTCAGGGTCGGGTCCAGCCAAGGGCAGGAGCTGAGGGGAGGTGCTCCGTCCGGCCCGGCCAGCTCTCACGGGTCAGCCCCTCTGCCCTGTGCATGCGGGGCAGGCGGGGAGGCTCCCTGGGCCCAAACCTCCTTCATGATGGGTTCCTGGGGGTCCTTGCTCTCCACGATGCATGGGTCCACAAAGTAGCCCACCGAGTCGTCACACGTGCCCCCCGCCAGGACGCTGAGGCTGGGTGAGGAGCGGGCGTGCTCCAGCCACTTCTTGATGCGGCCGAAGGACTGCAGAGGTGGGGAGGGGGCGTCAGGGAGGCAGCGGCCACCCCAGAAGGGCCCCCCCAGCACCTAGGGGTCTAGGTCCAGGATGTAGCTGGGCCACGTCACACAAGGGCAGGTGTGTGTGTGTGTGTGTGTGTGTGTGTGTGTGTGAGAGAGAGAGAGAGAGAGTGAGAGAGAGAGAGAGAGAGAGAGAGGAGGACCACAGGCTGACTGACACACAAACACACATGCAGACATGTTCAGCTACGTGTGTGTTCCATGTGTGTCCATACACGCAGACTACAGATGCTCGCATGCACACGTGGTTGACACACATGTGTGCACGTGAACAGGGCAGGAGCTGAATGTGGCCGGGGGAGCGGGGGGCTTGCGGAGGTGACAGACAGCAGGCCTCGAGGGGCCTGGGTGCGGCCTAAGATTTGAGAGCCAGTCTGGGGGGGCTGTGAGCGAGTCTGCCCTTCCCAGGGCTGGGGGGCAGGGAGGGAAGGAGAGGGAGGTGGGAAGGTGGCCCATTGAGTTGCTGGGGAACAGCGGGGGCCGGGCTGCCCACTAGGCAGGGCCCCTCTCCCTCCTGCAGCGAGGACAGACCCAGCCCCAGGAGTGCTCCAGACCCTGCGCTACCTTGGCGTCGATCACTGCGGAGAAGAAGGTCCCGAAATCCTCTGCGGGCTGGAGGCCAGGGAGACACAGGGAGAGGAGTTGGCCGCGGGCCCAGGCGAAGGGGCCCCTCCCCGCGCACCCCCAGCCCCGCTAGCCCATCAGCCCCCCGCCGGGCCGCGGCAGGGGAGGCAGCACCACTCACTCACGTTGCCCACTTTGATCCTGCCGTGCTCCTCCAGCAGCCGCCCTTTGATCTGGGGCCACAGGGAGCTGGGCACGTAGAGGCGCGAGCAGGCAGAGCACTTCTGCCCGCCGTACTCGAAGGCCGAGCGCAGGGTCCCGCTCACCACGCTGTCCACGTCGGCCGAGACGTGCACGAAGTGGAAGTTCTTCCCGCCACACTCTGCGGGGGCCAGGGGAGGGGGTGTGACAGGGGGCTGCGTGCTGGGGCACGGGAGGGGGGCTGGGGATCAGAACCCCCCCCCCCCCACGCGACAGACACTGAAAGGGCATCTGCTGTGAAGGCTGCGACCTAGCCCCCGAGGGGCACCACCCAGACCCTCTGTCCCCCCACACTCAGGGAGAAGGGCCGGCCAAGGACGGGGGAGCCGCACCCTAGTTTCCTGAGTGACCACCTGGGGGTGGGGGCCAGTCAATGGCAGCTGGGCACTGCAGAACCCCCCAGGTATTATCCAGCCACTGACCCAACTCTGCCCCCCACACTCACTCGCATTTCAGAGACAAGGAAACTGGGGCAGAGTAGGAGCCTGAGGATGGGGACTGCCAGCATGGGTCCCCCAGGAAGGCGGCAGCACCCCAAAGAGGTCCGCTGCTCCCCTCAGTAGGGCTGGCTGGGTGTGCCGCGGGGCTGAGTGCGCAGAGGTGGGGCACTGCTTCCCTCCACTCCAGCCTGGGAGCGGGGTCAGTCTTCCCGACAGACCCTCCAGCCACAGTTCTGCAGGGAAGGTGTGGTGGGCCCCCCTCCCTGCCAGCCCTCCCGATGCTTCCCAAAGTGTGTTCCAGAGAACCCCGGGTCCCAGGAGGCTTTGCCTGACTGGGTGCCTTGGCCCAGAGAGTTTGGGAAAAACACGCCAGGCCCATGGGAGCGGCAAAGCTCTGCCAAGTCCTGGGTGGGGGAGGCGCCTGCTGGAAGCCCCTGTCAACCTCTCCGCCCAGCTCCCCGGCTTCGCTGCTCCTGAGCCAGTGCTCACAGCCACCACCTGGGGGGGGGGGGGGAGGTCACTCCACAGCTGCCCCCCATGGCTGGTCACTTTCCATGAATGCAAATGGAACAAAATGCAAGATTCTCTTCCTCAGTTGCGGCGGCCGTGTATCAGGGGCTTAATGGGCGAAGGTGGCCACAGCCACTGTGTGGGCAGAGCCGAGCTGAGCCGATGCGGATGGAAAGTTCCACAGGCCAGTGCTGGTGCCCGGAGAGGCCTCCAGAGCTCTGCCACTACTGTCCACCTATAACAGGGAGGGGCTCCCAGGCCTCACCCCTGCCCGTGTCCAGCAGGTGCTGAGGAGACACCAAATGTGTCATGTGGGGAGAGAGCCGGGCAGGGCGACAGTCTCCTGCACCCGAGTCCCCTCCTGGGCTGGGACGGACGGCTGACAGCCCCCCCCACCCAAGTCAGAGGCCGGCCCTTACCTCCGGCCAGGCGCGGGAAGGTGCGGAACCGGTCCAGGTTCTGGGCCACCTGCTTCCACAGGTGCTTGAAGGTGCTGTAAGCAGAAGGGAGACTTAGGGGTGCAGGTAGGGGAGGAATGGCAGACCCCCGCAGAGCAAGGGGCAGGGGCGGAAAAGGTCAGGAGGGGGTAAGGCTGGGGCCAAGGTCATGGGAACAGCAGGAAACGGTCAGGACAGCGAGGGGAGGCTAGGCGGCCAAGCACAGTGGTGGCCGGCCCGGAGTGGGGGGCGTCCTAGGCTCAAGTCCAGCTCCTGCACACTCAGGGCTGTGTGACCCTGCACTCATTCCTTAGCCTCTCTGAGCCTCAACTTCTGAGCCTCGTCCAGTAGCAGCAAGACCAAGGCCCAGCCGGCAAGGCTGTTCAGTGCATCTCTCCAGTGTGGCCTGCATTTTCAGCACGATGCCAGGTCGGGTGCACTGCAGGGTGTCCTTGGGGTGGGGGGGTGGGGGAGAACCAAGGCTGCGGGGTCCGCGAGGGGCCCCCCAGTCGGTGCTCAGAAGGCTCCTGGGAGAGGGAGCTCAGCCCCCACCTTCTCCCTGGGCTCCAGAGTGTGACCAACCTCAGCACCACAAAACAATAAAAATGCTAATCACCGGGGAGCCTCGGCGCGGCAGCTAATACTAATTTATGACTTTCCTCCCTTTAAGCCGCTGCGCGTCGGAGCATGGCAAATGGGGGCCGGCCGCTCTGCCCGCGCTCAGGCAGGCCCCGAGGGGCCCGGCTGCCTGCGCAGAGCCCACCTTCCGGGAAACGGCCCTGCTCAGCGATTCTCCTGCTGCAGCGGCCAGGCAAACCCGGCAGGAGGCCGAGAAGGGGTCTGGGGGTGGGGGAGGCCCACAGCTGGACAGAACAGCCAGCAGGGCAGGGGGGCCTGGGACCCCCACCTCTCTGCCCAGACGACCCGCCGGTCCTCACAAATGCCAGCACGGGCTTCGGGTCCTCCTCTTGGGGGCCGGGTTTCCAGTGCCCCCCTGGGTGATCCCTGCGTACCCACTGCCCTGAGCTGGGACGTCCCCCTGAGCATCCCCACCCTGGCCCCCAGGTCCAGCCCCGGATGGGTGATCCCGTCCCTCTGCTGGTCCTCTCGAGAATCACCATTCCCCCTGCCCACTGCCGCCCCCCGCAGCAGGCCCTGAGAGGTTCCTCCCAGGACAGTCACTCTGCTGACCGCTTCTGGTCAACATGAAGTGGCCAGAGGGCAGCTAAGGCTGGGCCCCCAGGGGTCAGGGATGCAGAGACCCAGGCCGTCCTCCAGCCAACAGGGCCTGCATTCAGAGCCTCCGGCCTCAAGAGACCCCCACATCCAGGTTTCCGTGTAAAACAGCTCAGCCAGTCGGTGCGGGGTGCCAGTCCCTGCTAGGGTCACCAATGGCCACACGAAGACCACCAGACTCCCGCTCATAGAGCCGAGATCCAGTGCAGAGACCAAGGTGCTTCCTCTCCTGCATGTGCCCAACCTGAGTTCCATCCCGGCACCATCTCGGGTCCCCTGAACCCCCCAGGAGTGGCCCCTGAATGCAGAGCCGGGAGTAAACCCTGAGCACTGTAGCACGAAATACCCCCCACCCAATAAACACCAGCTGTCCCTGACTGCCCTGGAAACCAATGCAGCGTCTATCCACACCCACCGTGTCCCTGTGAGGGGCCGTGTGCATGCAGGAACCAACCCGCCGGCCCACAGCACACCCCCTCAGTCTCTTCTCCCCCACCCCCAAGCTCCACACTCCAGCCAGCTGGAACCACCTCCCAGAGCACCCAGAGCTGCTCCTGCTCCTAGAACACTCTCCCGTCCCCGCCTCCAGTCTGGCCCACTCCTCGGCTTAGATGTCACCTCCTCTGAGAAGGCTCCCTGATTCTTCTCCAAGTCAATGCCAAGTTCCCTGCACCCTGGACATCCAAATCAGCACTGCCTGGCACCTGTTAACGCTCCCTCCTGCTCACCAATACCGTAAGGTAGGCACCTGCACCCTCAGGTGGTTGAATGAACAGGTTCAGACAGGTGAAGTGGCCCACCCACAGTCACACAGCAAGTCCACGCACGAGCTCGGGGCTGCATCTCAGAGTCCTAGCTGTGGCGAGAAGACGGGGGCCTGATGACCGTCCCCCTATAACGCACCCCAGCCCACCCTGGGGACTCACGGCACGCTGCCCGTGAAGTTGATGCCGCAGAGGTGCTCAGAGCTGGTGATGGCGTCCCCGAAGGTGGGCCCGTCGGCCGGCACAAACTGGATGACGTTGGGGGGCAGCCCGGCCTCCCGGAGGATGCGGTAGACGGCATAGCTGGCCAGCATGGCGGTGTCGCTGGGCTTCCACAGGACCACATTGCCCTGGCGAGAGGCGGGAGGGCAGCTTGCTAGGGGTGGGCTGGGTGGGGGGCAACCACCCTGTGCGGATGGGCTGCCCGGGCCCTCCCACCCCAGCCCGCTCTGCCCTGGCCTCAGGAAGCTTCTCTCGACCTGCCATTCCTGCTCTGGAAATCTGTGCTCAAAGCATGTGGCATGTGGGGGGGGAGGGGAGGGACATCTAAGTCGCTCCTGACGATCCCAGCTCTCAGAGCCTGATGCATGCAGACAGGTCTTCAGGGGGTAAGAGGGGGCACACAGTCTTCAACACTACCCCCAGGCTCCCCACTACCCCGTGAACCTCCCAGGCTCTCCTTGAGCGCAGGGCCAGGCCTTCTGCCCCCCACCCCCTCAGGCCCAGCACCCCCACCTCCATGCCCAGGAATCCCGGGGAAGTGGAAAATCTCCTTCACTTTATCAACCCTGGCCATGAGCCTGATCCCACCCACATTGCATCCTGGTCACCTCTTGCTAGCTGGGCAACCTGGACCAGTGGTGCCCCCTGGCCGTGTGCTGGCTCTCTGAGGCTAGCTGCTACTATTGCCCTTGCTACTGGACACACGGAAAAGCTGGCTCGGCCGTGCCATCTCCTTTGTGCCTCAGGAGCCTGCATCCTGCGCTTCCCTGCAGTTCCCACTAAGCACGGGAGGAAGCTGGGGGTTTATCTGGGGTCACCCAAAAGGGGAGAAAGGTGGGGTCCAACGCCAGTCAGACCCCAGAGCCCTTCCAGGTCTGAGCTGCTACCAGCTCTGGGCATCCCCTCCCTCCACCAGCATTCGAGGGCACAGGCGGGGTTGGTATCTGCTGAGATGGAAGGGCCCACTACTCCTATATGCACACCCCCATGCCATGTCTTACCATCAAGGCCGGCGCCCCTGCCAGGTTCCCGCCGATGGCAGTGAAGTTAAAGGGAGAGATGGCAGCCACGAATCCCTGGAAGGAGTGTTGGGGGGTGGGTTAAGAAGAGCTCAGGGCCCCCAGCACCCCGCTGCCCCACCCGCTAGGGCTACCTCCACCCCCAGCAGCCTCGCCGTCCACCCGTGGCTACCTCCAGCCCCCGGTACACCACGCTGTTGGTGCTGGGCGGCACGCTGATGGGCTGCTCCCCCTCCAGCTGCATGGCGAACATGGCGTTGAACCGGAAGAAGTCGATGAGCTCTGCCGCGGCATCGATCTCGGCCTGGATCACTGTCTTACCCTGCGGACAGGAGGCCGGGACCATGGGGTGGATGTGTGGGCCTCCCCTCTGCCTGCTCCTCATGCTGGCTGCCTGGGGGGGGGGGTGTGGGCGCCCCCTGCCCCAGGATGAGTACAGGAAGGGCACTTGGACCCAGAACCCCCACCCCCAACTGTGAGCGTTTCATGAGACCATGCATTTCTTTCTTTCTTTCTTTCTTTCTTTCTTTCTTTCTTTCTTTCTTTCTTTCTTTCTTTCCTTTTTGCGTCACACCCGGCAATGCTCAGGGGTTACTCCTGGCTCATGCACTCAGGAATTACTCCTGGCAGTGCTCAGGGGACCATATGGGATGCTGGGAATCGAACCCAGGTCGGCCATGCTGGCTGCATGCAAGGCAAACGCCCTACCTGCTGTGCTATTGCTCCAGCCCCGAGACCATGCATTTCTCCCTGACAGCTCGAAGGGTTGTCCCAGATCTAACAGTACTATCCACCCCTGGCGCAGGGTTGAGAGTTTGCTTTTTTGTTTGTTTTTGGGTTTAGGGCCATACCTAGTGGTGCTCGGGAATGATACCCTATGGGGTGCCAGGAATCTAACTTGGGTGGGCTGCGGGCAAGGAAAGCACCCTCCCTGATGGACTCTCTCTCTCTCTCTCTCTCTCTCTCTGCTCAGCTCAGGCAGAGAGTTTGATCCCTGGTCTAGGGGGTTGGGGTGGGGGGAGAGTCCCTGGCACCACAGGGTATGAGTAGCACTGTCTCCTTAGGCACCAGCGTTGAACCCATGACCCAGCTAACCAAGAACCGTCAGGAAGCCTGTATCTCTCTCTCCCCTTCCCGCAAACGAAGTGCCCTGCTCCACATGGCCACACTTCCTGAAGGTCTCTGGGTCCGCTGTCAAACAAAGAAGCAATCTCATCCTTGACTGTCACTGTCCTCCCGTTGTTGATCGATTTGGTCGAGCGGGCCCAGTAACGTCTCCATTTTGAGACTTGTTGTTATTGTGCTTGGCATATCGAATACGTCACGGGTAGCTTGCCAGGCTTTGCTGTGTGGGCGAGATACTCTCAGTAGCTTGCCGGGCTCTCTGAGAGGGGCAGAGGAATTGAACCCAGGTCGGTCGGGTCAGCCTCGTGCAAGGCAAACGCCCTACCACTGTGCTATCACTCCAGCTCATCCTTGACAGAGGCTGAAAACCTGACAGGTGTGGGGCTGTCCTACCACCTCCATGCAGCAGAGGGCGCCCTCACCACAGGACAGCAATCAGGAAGAGTGCTGAACCCTAAGGCTATGGGGAAGGGCAGAATTAGCTCTTTATTCCTCTGTTCCATTCATGAAACAACAAGCAAAAAGCATTATGACCACCTAAGACTCCAGTAAGAAAAGACACAGAAAGCCAGAGACCATTCACACAGGCTCACTGCGCAACCCCCCCATCACAGTGTGTGAAAGGGCATTCCCAGAGTGACACAGACATACAAGAGACACCCCCCCCCCCCAGCAGTCTGAGCTGTCACCAACAGATGACCAGCTACAGGAACCCAGAAGGCAAGAATGGTCCTTCCTGACCAAGAAGGTTCTAGAAGCTCTGCAGAAAAGGTGCTATCTGCATCAGATCTTGAGGGTTAAGACTTACAGGAGGGGGCTGGAGAGATAGCACAGTGGGTAGGGCGTTTGCCTTGCATGCGGCCGACCCAGGTTCGATTCCCAGCATCCCATATGGTCCCCTGAGCACCGCCAGGAGTAACTCCTGAGTGAAGAGCCAGGAGTAACCCCTGTGCATCGCCAGGTGTGACCCAAAAAGCAAAAAAAAAAAAAAGAAAAGAAAAAAAGCCCACAGTTTGGGGCTTGCTGGGTTCACACTGGTGACACCAATGAGTGGGCTGGTCAGCAATAAGGGCAGGGACACCATGGGTGGGCACTGAGATCCAAGCTCAGGCCTTGGGGAGACTCTCAGTGACTCGGTAGCACCAGAAAGGCCTGCAGAAGGGCAGGGTCTGGCTATGCGAGGGTCCATGCAAGGCAACTATTATTCCAGCTCTGCAGGAAGGGCCTGTCCAGGGAGAGAGAGATGCAGGGAGGGACCTTCCCTGACAGCATACCAGTCGGGCAATGTGACCTGCCAGTGATGTGGTCATCTCCCAGGCCGTCTCCGCTCAGGCACGTCCAGGGTCGCAGGCCCCAGAGCCCGTCCAGCGGCTGTGAGTGACCAGGCAGGCAGCATGGCTTCCCGCCCAAAGCCCTTGGCTGTGGGCAGCTCACCTGGCCCACCATGGTCTTGGCGAGGATCTCTGCCCTGCGCGGCCCGCTCAGCATGTCAGCCGCCTTGAGGAAGATCTGGGCACGGTCGGCCACGGGCTTCAGGTCCCACTCCTTCCGGGCGGCCAGCGCGGCACCGATGGCTTTCTGGAGCAGGTTCTAAAGACAGAAGCATGTTGTCAGGTTTGTGGCCTGGTCCTGCCCAGGCCAGACCAGAGCCAGTGTGAATACCTAGCGGCTGTGGGCACTTCCTGGTCACAGCACACGGTCCTGGGGTGTTTATCCTCCCCCCCACTTCCAATGCCCAGTCCCTCCCGTCCCTCCCACCCATGCAGCTTCCAAACCTGCACCCTCTGCCACTAATCCCCTGGCAGAAATGGCCCTGTCCTGTCTGAGACATCCACCAGGGACCCCCCCACTAAGTGCCGGGGCCCCCCTTCCCTACCAGCCATGGTCGGACGGAGGAGAACCACTTCTAGGTCAGCACCCGGGGCCAGCCTGCAGAAACTCACCTTATCTGCGTAGCAGAACTTGGCCACCTTGTGTCCATGGTTAAAGGGCTGAAAGGACAGAGGGGCATGTGGTCACTCACTGTCAAGGTTGGGTGAGACAAGGCCGGGCTCGGACACTCGCACCCCCAGCAGCTGCTGTACCCTGAGTTGGGGTCCCCATGCAACGGGCACAACCCAGCGCCAGGCCCTTGGTGGGGTGAGGGTGACGCTGTGTCCAGATGCGGACTGGAAGTCCAGTCTGCCACTGGCTAACTTGGACCATTCAGGTAGGCTCCCCAGCCTCAGCACAGAGGGGAGCACCGAGGGGCCCAGGGGAAGATTCCCCCAACCGGGCTGCTCAGGGCCAGTGCTCTGCGTGGGGCCCGTGTGCTGGTGCAGACCCGTGAGCCATGACAGAGCCCCAGCAGTGGAGCCCGAGACACGCCAGAGCCCGACTCAGCTACGAAGGTAGCCTCTGGCACACAGGGGACTCACCTCTGCCGCTACACTCATACTTCGAATCACCTGGCCACTCCTGAGCTCCCAGCAGGCAGCTGGGGACTCTCTGGCCCAACAGGGCAGCTACCAGCCACTCCTGCCGGTCCCAAATTCTTCAGATAAACTTTCCTGTCTGCACTCGGTTACCGAACGTGGCTACTGTGGCCGAGTAACGCGCAGCAAAGACAGCAAAGCTTCAGAGCTCTGCCACCACCATTCAGATCCGCACCACCACCATGACCACCACGGTCACCATCGCAGAAAGCCGGGGGGCTGGCAGAGGTCTTCGTTTCAGCCCCCAGGTAGTCACCCGCACCCTCTCCAAACCTGGGAGGCAGCTGTGATGCTCAGGGCCAAGGTGGCGGGGAGCTGACCCTTCAGCTCAGCACACCTGGGGGACAAGCTCCCCAGGGCCAGCACTGGGCGTGGCAACATGGCTCCTGCCTCCCCTGGCCCCTGCCACCGTCCCAAAGGCCTGGCGTCTGAGGGTCCCAGGAGACTGGTCTGGAGGCCGCAGGAAAAGACTGAACGGGGGTGTCCACCCAGGGGGCCCGGGCCCAGGACAAAAGGGGGTCAGCCCCACGGGAACGGGCACAATGGCCTCACAGTGAGAGGGTGGGATTCGAGGCCAAGGTCCCTCCAGGATCAGAGCCTGACTCTCCACAGAAAATAAAGAGGGGATGCGTTAGGGGCAAGAGAGACAGAACAGTAGGGAGGGTGCTTGTCTTGCATGCTGGGACCCCCACAGGTCCATGCTGTGAGCACTACCAGGTAAGCCCTGAATCCTGTTAGGTGTGGCCCAAAATTCAAAACCAAACCAAACCAAACCAAACCAAACCAAACCACAGAGGCAGTGCGGACCCTCCAGGTCTTCTACCTGCAGCCAGGATGCAGATCCAGGCTTAGCTGGTGACCCGCACACAGGCTGGGGAAGGGGCTCGTGCAGGCTCTGCATGTGGGAGACCTGGGTTGGATCCCCAGCACCATGGGGAGTGACCCCCAAGCAAAGAGTCGGGATAGCTCCTGAGTCCACTGGGGGCAGGCGGTTACAGTCACCAGCCCCCAGCCTGGGGCAGGCCAGGGCCTGGGCCTTGGGGGCATCTTCTCTGTGGGAGCCGCAGGATATACTGGGCACTGACTCCTGAGGGGACGGGATGCAGGAGAGACTTGGCCCAGGGTCCGGCCTCTGAGACCTTCTGCACCCCACCCTCACTCCCTGTCTCTGCTACAAAGCGGGGCTCCCTTAGGAAGTCTCAGGCCTGGGGCTGGCTGTGCCCCCGGCCCCTCGGCACCCCCCACCCCCAGCCCCTGCCCTGCCTGCAGGACACAGACAGGGAGGCTTTCCATGGCGGTGAGAGGCACGACTTGTCAGACCCTCGGGCCCCAGTGACCAGGGCAGTGGGCAGGGGCACCTTGGACATCCTCCCAGAAACCACCCCCAGACCCTCCGTGTGTCTCTCCTGCCCGGGCTCGGGGCTGCCCTGTGCTCAGCTACAGAGGATCAGATCTCTCCAGGAAAGTGCCCGTGCCCACACACAGAACTACCAGGCTGTCCCGGTGGACAGATGCCCCGCACCACCCAACCTCCCTGGCCCACCCTCCTCCTCCCGTTCCTGGAGGCGGGGTTCGAGCCTGAGCTCCACCGGGAAGCCAGCAGTGGTGGCAGCAGCAGGCATGTGAGGTGTGCACCTCACACGACCCTGGGTCCCACCAAGCCACGAGAGCGGGAGCAGTCAGCCACATGCTGCCACGTGCCGCCGTGAGCTCGCTGAGGGCTGGGGCCGGCCACATGGTCAGGCAGTCAGGCGGAGACTCTCTCATGAACATGCTCAGCAGTCAAGCAGCTGCCCACCACCAGCCCCGTGGCCACTGGGGGGCCGAAAGGGCAGCCCAGGTCGTCCCCAGACCTCTGGCCACGGCAAGACCATGCCACAGTGAGATGTGCTAATGTGCTGCTTCACACGCCTCTTCAGAGAGTCAGGGTGTGTGTGAGCGAATTCCTGAGTCAAAGCAAAGGAGCCCTGGTTCTGGAGGGGCCGGCTTGACCGGCACTGCTTATGTCATGATGAGCCCCACAGGCCCCGTCTCTCTGAGCTCATTCCCTGACCTGAAAGTCCAGCCTCCAAGGGCTCCAGCGGAAGGGCTTCCAGGAGGAGGTGTCTCCTGCCCAGATACCGAGTGTTATCTGGGGTGATCCCGTCTGCTGGACCAGTGGTTTCCGCCCAGCAGCCGGGGCTTTGGCGACTGTGCTTTCTCTGGAAGCCTCATCTTGATTCTGACATGGGGCCTTTCTTCCTGCCTTGGGCAGAACACCCTGAACTGACCAGTTCTACTGATTCCTCCCTTCCTCCCTTCCTCCCCCCTCCCGCCACCCGCTTTCCTCCCTTCCTTGTTGCATCACACCCAGCGATGCTCTGGGACTCCCCCTGGCTCATGCACTCAGGAATCACTCCTGGCAGTGCTCGGGGAACCATATGGGAGTGAACCCGGGCCGGCTGCATGCAAGGGAAATGCCTTCCCCACTGTGCTATAGCTCCAGCCCCTCTACCTTCTTTCTAGGAACAAAATACCTCCCAGTCACACTCAGGGCTGCAGCCACCCCTGGCCCTGAAGGACCAGGCATGCCCATGGCATGCACTGTCCTCTAGGGTCAGGCGTCAGCAGCTCAAAAGCAACAGGCCCTCACGTCCTCCCAGCCCCAGCGGCGGCCTCTGACCCCAGACTTGCTTATGGAAGCTTGTGCCAGAGATAGAGCCAGAGTGGGCTGGAAAAACCCAGGGTCAGCACAGAGCCCGGTCGGGGCGGTGCCCACTGCACTTACCGACACCTGATACTGCACAGCTGAGGTCCACACCTCCTCATCCCCCACCACACACGGGATGGCTTCCGTCTGGCCCTTCAGGTCCTTCAAGGCCTGCAAAGAGGACAGGGAGACGGTCCCAAGCTGCCACCCTCTTCTGCCCCTGCCTACAAGCCACAGCTGAGTTGACACCGGGAGACACTGGGCAGGGGGAGGGGTGAATGGGGGTGGCCGGGCATGTGATCGGAGAGTAGCCCTGAGCAACACCACTTCCTGTCTGGCAAGATCTACCCATTACAAAGATATGTTTTTGTTTGTTTTTGGGGCTCGCCCTGCCGGTGCTCAGGGCTTACCCCAGGCTCTGTGCTCTGGGATCACTCCTGGCAGGCTTAGAGAACCATATGGGGTGCCGGGGATTGAATTTGGCTCAGCTGCATGTAAGGAAAGCACTTTGCCCGCTGTACTATTGCTCTGGCCCCAAGACTGAATCTTGGGGCCAGGACCTGCTGCTGGGCATGCCCTGGTGGCCGGGGAACACTGCCCAGCATGGCCCAGAGTGACCCCACCACTAGGGTCTATCCCCTCCCCGCCTGCAAAAAAAACTCATCGGAAATTTATAGGAAACCTCACCATTTCTAAAAATCATGAGAAAATGAATGAAAGCGTACAATACGGTTAGCGTGGGGCTGGACAGAACTCACGCTCTGCACGCAGGGGACCCGTGTTCCAGCTCTGGGACCACACTTGGCCCCTCAAGGACCTCCGGGAGTGATCCCTGAGCACTGCAGGGTGTGGCCCCACAAACCCAAACACAACGAAAACCTTCTCACACGGGGCCAGAGAGAGCACAGGAGGGAGGCTCGCTTGTGCTGTGTGGGGTCCGTCCCAGACCAACCCCCTGAGCACTGCCAGGGGAGGTCCCTGAGCGCAGAGCCAAGGGTAAGCCCTGGCCACTGCTGGGTGGAGGCCAAAAGCAAACCAAGGGGAAAACAAAACATAGGTGAGTTTATGACGCCCCCCCCCATCGCATCTGGGCTGCAGACCCCAAAAATTGCAAGCTGCCCTCGGCCGCCCGCCATCTCCCCTCCAAGATGACCCAGACCCCACAGGTTCCTTCCAAGGTGGGGCTCCCCCGCCCAGTTACCTTCTGCAGTGCATCTCGCTCAGGGCTGCCCGGGGTGAACGCCAGGATGGGCTCATTGGCGACCTTCAAAGAGGAAGCGTGTTTCCACCTCAGCCTGGGGGATGGGGCAGAGGAGGACAGCTCAGCAGGGGTCGCCTCTAGGCCCAGCGCCCTTCTCTCCAGCAGGAGGCCCAGAATCCCCCAGACCCGCAGGTGAGGGGAGGCAAGAAGTAGCCTGGGAGACCCACAACCCCACTGCATCAGAGAGACAGCTCAAAGGGCAAGAGCCCGATCTTGGCTCCCAGCTCTGCACGGCCCCAAGCAACACAGGGAGTGACTTCCAAGGCACAGCCAGGCACACCCCAAAACCCCCAAAACACACCCAACTTCACTTGATCTTAAGGCATAAGGCAAAGAATTGATAAAGGGGCTGGAGTGATGATAGCACACCTGGTAGGGTATTTGCCTTGCATGCGGCCGACCCCAGTTTGATTCCCAGCATCCCATATGGTCCCCCGAGCACCACCAGGAGTAATTCCTGAGCACGGCCAGGTGAGCGCTCAACCCTCCACTAAAAACAAAAAAACAAAAACAAAACTACCTAAAGGTTATTACATAAATTTCCACATATGATGTTCCCTAAAAGGCCACACTGGGCTTTTTTTTTTCCCCCTCAGGAGGTGCCCATGTTCTCTGTCAACCACGTATCTCTGTCTTCCTTTATTTCCCAAGTACGTCTTCCTCCACTGATGCCTTACTTCACTGCTCATCTCCTGAAATTCTCTACTGTGAGGGAAAGCTCTGTGCCTTGGAAGCCTGGGTTGGATTCAGGATGGACTCTCCTGCCAAGAGCAATTCCTCGCCCCAGCTGGGGTCCCACGGCTCCCTGGGAACTCGGGTGGGGGGGGGGGGGAATCACCCCCAGTCTGGGCAGGTCCAATGGCACCCAGGTGTGGTGTGATGACCATCTCATGGGGCTGGTGAACATGAGGCCTGTGCCATGCAGGGCCTGTCCCAGATTTCCCCGGGTGCCCACGGGCAGAGGGGGCAGCAACAGATGCCCTTCTCGGGCGACTGCCTCTCCCTGTTCTAGCCCTACCAGCCCCCCTGGGACCCCACGTCCCACACTTCCCTTCTGTCCATTACCTCTGTTACCTAGCGCGAAGCCGCTGCTTCCCAAAGCGCCCCTTACGCCCTGCGGCTCCTGCCTTCCTTCCAGCGGCAGTTTGTTATCTGACCTCCTAGGGCAGTCCCCAGCTCTCTCCCATGGCCCAGGGCTTCCGTCCCCTCAGGATCACAAGTCCCCGGGGCCTCGCTCTGCCTGGAAGCTCAGCGTGGGAAACAAAGCAGCTATTGGCATGAGCCAAGGAGAAAATCACCCAGCGCCTCTGCCAGGACGTGCCTGGGAGGGAAGGGGTCGGGAGGGAGGGCCGTGGCATTCGGGATGAACAAGAACAGGACACCCTTGGTTCAGGAGGCGGAGAGGAAGCACACCCCTGTAGTCCCGGGGGGGCGGGAGGTGACTAGGAGGCTCTGTCGTGGCCGGGCTGTGCTCCTCACCCACTCACCCCTGCACGCGGCACACTCACTCCACGCTCAGGGCAGCACAAGAGGCGTCCCCTTGGGGGTTACAGGTGTTCGTCCTTCCCCTGCAGGGAGGGGGCAAAGGATGGATCCTAAAGGGACTCAGGTCCCCTCCATCCCTGGGCTGCTCCTTCTGCCCTACCTGCTACCCTCTGCAGGTACTAGGTACTATGCTGAAAAGGCCACAAAACCAATATCCACAGCAGGCAACTCTAGGTGGGATGGAGGGGTGGGTGAGCCCAGGCAGCCTCAGCCAATCACAGTGAGCGGAGCAGGGCCCCACCCTGATGGCCTCTGCCTGGCCCAGCTGCAGACCACAGGCATCACTACCTCCAAGCTAAGGAAGTTACCATTTTTCTTTTCCTTTTTTTTTTCATTCCCATAGGGTGGGAATAATAACCCCTATAATGCTTAGGGGTTATATTAGCAGCTCCGTGCTCAGGAATGACCCTTGGCAATACTTATGGGAGCCAATGTGGTGCTGGGGATTTGGTCGTGACCTCCACAGCCCTCTGCAAGGCTAGTGCCTTCCGTCCTGTACTCTGTCTCCAGCTCCCCTGAACATGAAAATCAGACAGTCAGGTTTTAACATGAAAATCAGACTGCCATGCATGCAGATACAGAAGGAGCAAGCACTCAGTGCAAATCTACCCAGTGAGTCCTCATTTCTGCTCCAGGAAAAGTTCAGACCCTGGGACACTGTCCAGGACAGATCACATGCTAGAATACAAGGTCCACAAGATCAGGAGAGCAGACATCACACCAAGTATTTCCTCAGACCATGATGCTCTGAAGATAAAATAAACCACGAGTAGAAAGCTAAAAAAACTCAAAACTTAGAAACTAAACAACGTATTACTGAACAACCAGTGAGTCAAAGAGGAAATTACAGAAGAAATCAATAGATTCTTGGAAACTATTGGGGACATAGACATCGTTTTGGATGGAAAGGCATTTGCCTTGCACACAGTCAACCCAGGGTCCATCCCTGGCATCCCATCTGGTGCCCCGAGACTGCCAGGAGTGAGCCCTGAGCACAGAGTGAGGAGCAAGCCCTGAGCCTGGCTGGGTGTGGCCCAAAAGCCAATTGTACTCCTGAAAACAAATGAGAAGAAAGATCGAGAACAAAGACCCACCAAAGGAAGGAAGTTCATAGCAATACAAGCATTTATCAGATCACAAGAAAAGGTTCAGTAAGTGGCCGAACAATACATCTTAAGACACAAGAACAAAAGGATCCCAAGATAAGCAGGAAGGAAAACAACCAACCAAACATACAATCAAGATCGGATTTTTCAAAAGAATAAACAAGAACAACAAAACTTTAGCTAGGCTTCCAAAGGGAAAGAGAATAATAAACTGGATCTAAACTGAAAGAAGTTACAACAGATACCACAGAAATCCCATGGATCATCTGAGATTACTATGAACACTTTATGCCATGACACTGAGATGGATGGATAGAATCTTAGAATCGCCCAGGACTTTTGTTGTTGTTGCTGTTGCTTTTTGGGTCATACCTGGTGATGCTCAGGAATTACTTCTGGCAGTGATGGGGTACCAAATGGGATGCTGAGGACTGAACCCGGCTTGGCTGTGTGCAAGGCAAGCACCCTACCTGCTGTACTATCACTCCAGCCCAACAGAGCTATTATTAATAACGTGGGCAGGTAGACTAGGGAAGTCCTGCCTACATCATTTCATTTTCATTTCATTTCCTGCCCACATCATGGCAAAGAAATTCCTGGGAAGTAATAAAGTCCTAAGTCTGACCAACCGTGTGGATACTTAAAGCAAGACCGGATAAGACAGTCTCCAGCAGCCGACCTAAGGACCCCTCCCTACAGAAAGAGCCTGAAGGAAATTACTGGAGAACCTTCAATTCCTTCCTTTAATCTGATTAACCCTCAGCTAGCCCAGACCAGAGCTTCTTTGTTCCTGGTGGAACTTCTCTGAAAAGATCCAGCAGGATCAAAGGTCAAGAAAAGGAGTTTCAAAGAAGACCACTCCCAATTCTACCCACTTAGCAAAAACCCCAGCAACAGACTTTTATCTAGCTAGAAAACCTCTGGTGGGCCCGGCTTGGAGAAACCCTATTATAAAAGCCACCTTGAGGGGCTAGAGCAATAGCACAGCGGGTAGGGCGATTGCCTTGCATGCGGCCAACCCGGGTTCGATTCCCAGCATCCCATATGGTTCCCTGAGCACCGCCAGGCAGCCAGGCGTAATTCTTGAGTCACCCGAGTAAGCTCTGTGCATCGCCGGATGTGACTCAAAAAGCAAAAAAAATAAAATAAAATAAAAGCCACCTTGAACAAAGGGAGGGTGCGCATATGCTGCCCAAGTCCGTGTCCTGCTTGTGCCCACTTGCCTGAGCACATGTGGCTCCTGCATCTCCCCTCTTGAGATGTGCGCTTTTCTATCTAACGCTGGGGCTGGGCGGGGAGGGGGCGTGTAGGGGCTCTCTCCACCCTTACAGAAGCCCGCATACTCTCTCTCGCTTTCCCTCCCTCTTCACCTTCAAAAACCTCCAAATAAAATGTTCTACTTAACTGCTCGTCTATTCCTGAAGTTCTTTTTCTGTAAGGCGAGATAAGAACCCGGTAGCCCTGGGTAAGGCCTAGGACTGACTTTCCTTTTCCTCCAAAGGGCAATTTCTTATCCCGACCTGAGTCCATGGCTCCCAGAGAAATCGGGTGGTAGGGATCAACTCCTGTGCCAAGAAGGCCAAGTGGACGTCAGGTGTGGCTTGATGGCCACCTGGTAGGGCTGGCAGGGCTCTGGCCGGTGCTCATCGCAGACTTTATCAGTCTTGGCCTTCCCAGCCCAGTCTTGGGGTGGGCAGAGGGGATCAGGAGAAAGTGCCATCTCTTTCCTCCTCGCTTCACATAAGTCACCCGAGGGGCCCTCTGACATCAATTAACATGAACACTGAGACAGTAATCAAGTGTCTCCTCCAAAATGAAAGTCTGGGCGCAGATGGGTTCAGTAGTGCGGTTCTCTAAAACTTCTAAGAAAGACCTTCTTTTTCCATTCTTTTCAGGATCTCCCAAAAAGCCAAAGAAACAAGAATTCTCCCAGCTTCTATGAGGCCAACATTACCCTGATATCAAGAGCAGATACACCAGTGAACAAGAAAATCTAACAGAGATCGCTGATGGACACAGAAACAAAGATCACCAACAAAAGCTTAGCAAAGTATTCTATGTAGGAAAAGAATCATACTCCTCCATCTCATGGAATTTATTCGGGGCATACAGGTCGATTAATGAAATACACATGAACACAAACAGAGCTAAAATTGAAAAGACTAAAAAAGATGACGATCCTGGAGAGATAGTTCAGCAGGGAAGGCATTTGCCCTGCACATGGCCAATCCGGGTTCTATGCCCAGCACCCCATATGGGCCCCCAGGAGTGATCCCCCTCTGAGCACAGAGTCAGGAGTCAGCCCTGAACACAGCTGAGTGTGTATGGCCCAGCCCCCAACCCCCACATCATCTGCTAAGAAGCAGATGCAGAGGAAACCTTC